TCCTGCCATCCCACTTGTCAACCATTCATAATAATGTAGTGGCCACTTGACACACTATTTTATTCTGTCTTTTGGGATAAACAATATCTAAATCAAATACCTTTGAGATTTTAACCTTATAATAATGATGATAGGATCTTTCTTTGGTGATTTAGTCTCCTAAGTTCATAGACATTGCAACCACAAATATCTCTTCTTCCCAAAATCGATTTGATTAGAGAAGTATAACCTTTCTACTAAATCCAATCGAGAAGTATATTTTTAGTCCAAACTCAATTTGATCTGACATAAATATATAAAAAATATTTTGATTTTAGTATTATATAAATTATCCCTAAATTTATATAACAAAATTCTCGATTCGGATCGGATCAAAATTTTTTACCGCAACCTTAAATCCAACACAACCCCACCCTCTATAAAATTCGATCTACCTTGAACCCAATTTTTTTTAGAAAATCCAAGCTTATCAAATTATTTTTGAGTTAAACTATTATCCCCTAACCGTAGTATACTTTGAGTTCCACTGCTTGCACTTCCTTCGTATCTGGCAAATTAATTGAGGGGTCAAATTCTGGTTTTGCTCTTTTGATAATACTTAAATTTAAGATTTAATTTAATAAAAATTGGTATAAGTAAGGCTATTAACTATTTTGATTTTTTATTAAGATATATATAATCAAGTGATCTCAGTGTTAAAAGAATTGTAGTTGTTTCTTGAGATCCCGGATTCGAGCACCAAGAATGTCAAAGATGTGAGTGCTCAATATTAAATGGTTGAGAGTGTTCTTTGAAAGATATTGTCTCGTACTTTCCTTAAATTAATAAAAAAAATATGCTTTTGTCCCATCATACTAAAATGAATATTTAAAAAAAAAATCACAAAAAAAAAATTGAAATGGTTCAATATGTTATTTGTTTGGACTACTTAATGACACTATAAAAGTAGAGGATTAAATTGTACCAAATTGAAGTTTAAGAACTAAATCTCAAATTTGAGCATAGTAGAGGGATCAAAACCAAAATTTAACCATTAGTAAAGCAAGAATCCGGAAGAAAAAAAAGATTGAAACAGGATTTTGAGTAAACAAAGAAAGCATGGTGGGGTAACTCGTGCTTGGATATCGAGCCTTTATTAAATGATCGAATGTATTACCCGTGAAGAAGTATGACGTATTCGAAGTTGAGGAGCAAAATGAATACACGAAAGCATTTGGTACCCATTTTAGAAAGAAATTCATATCATTAATTACATGTTGGCGTTCGAGTTCAGAGTGTCATTATTAGCTTTGGTGCAGTGTAGATTGTTTAAGGTTTGAAGAAGCAATCATGTGTTTTTTTTATTGTTTCTCTCCAGTTTCAAGGTTTTGCTTTGATTAATCTTAATCGACTTAGGTCATATATTTAGTTTTAATAGGTGAATCTCTCAACGATATTTTTTACATACACAAAAACTCAAACTTGAACCTTGTTTAAACGATATAAAACTACTTACCACTTAAACTAACTCGTTGGTAAGCAATCATGTGTTTGACTGCTTGAGTTACACCATTAAAGGTATTAACAACCAACATCAAAGACCGGAAGTTGGGGCATCAAATTGTGGCAGTGAGTCATCCTCAAGCCCACGGGATTGCATCGCCCCAAACTTTGAACCGAGAGAAGCCGTTCCAGGCCGAGCTCAGACAAAAATAGGTTACGAAATGGGTTCAACCAAAGCAGTTTTGGGCCGCTCTCTACCATGCTTTTCTGCTTCAAACCAACCTACAATACCGAAAATCCTAATCAACTTTGCTACTGTTGGTAATATTACTGACAGAACAATAAAAATTATAAAAAGAATAATTCGCAAATTGTGTCACGATAAGCCGCTGCCATAGAAGTTCCGATTAGTCTAATTGCTAATTTGCTACGATGAATCACGCCTCTCGAAGTTAACACAGTGTTTCTGAAACTCATACACCCAAAGTTCAAAAATGCTGAAAAAAGTTTGTATTTATGGGTTGGTCTTCAAGCATAATAAGAGAGCTATAATTCATGTTGGATTTCTGCAGCAATCAAAGCTAATTACAACTGATGTAATTACTTGTTAAAACAACTACAATATAAAGATGAATCTATTCAAGAAAACGTTTGGATTTATATTTATAAATCCAACGGACAGTCACCATTATGCATCGAATAAATTCAAATTATATATACTCTTATTATCGTAATTAAAAATCTAAATTAGATAATAAAAAAACATTTTGATTAATTTTATAGATTTTCTCCAAAGACACAAACACGAACCAATTAGACAACAACAACGATACCTACATGCTAAAGACTTATCATACCATATTCAACAAGGAAAATAAAGATATTTTCCACCAGTGAGAGATACAGGGCGGGCTCTAAAGGGAGCACTCTCAGCAATCGCTCAGGGCCCCATTTTTTTTTTATTTATAATTAGGATTATAATTTTTTTATATTTATAATTAGGACTCTTAATTTTTATAATTTCATAGAATTTTTAGTTTTTGACCCTCCTTTTATATTTATCTTATTAATGCATTCAATTTTGAATTAAATTTAACCCAATTTTTTATATTTATAATTAAGGCTCATTTTTATAATTTCATAAAATGTTTAGTTTTTTGATAATTTCTCTTATTTATTCATTAAATTTTGAATTAAATTTAATCATGTTTTTCTCTTTTTTCAAATCTTACTCTTCAATTTATCAAATATTCTTTAATTTTTAGTCTTCTTCATTCTCAATCTAACAATAAAATAATATACAATTCTTTTTATTTATTTATTATTCAAAACCAAGCTATGTATCATACATACATACATTCAATTTTTTATATCTATTCTCTTTTAGTTATATTTAAGGTGTTTTTGTAATAAAATAATAAAAACAACACATTTTCACAAAAGTTAATTATTTTTCATTATTTATTTATGTAATATTAAATTAATTGTTCAAAGTATTGAAATATAATTTAATTTTATAAAGTATAGTTTTTAGTTTTTATTCAAAAAATATATGAGACGACCCTGGTGAGATACATACCTTGAAAACATTGCTAATAACTACTACCTATATTTTTAACTGCTATGGTTTAGGGTCCAACCTAACATTTCTTTCCTACTAAATTGTCAAAAAAAATTAACATAAAATATTTTATTTATTTATTCATTCATTCATCCACTCATGAAGCAAAGGTACTTCCCTATGAGTGATGCAATTGAATTAATATAGTGTTTGCATTGGACAAAATAGATCAAATTTTAAGAAAGATTATATTGATTAAATTAAAAATATAAATATTTACTAAGTATTTACGAGATAAAATTTAATTTATTTAACATTTATGAGATACAATTAATCTAATTAATCAATTATTCATGCAAAATACATATTTTCAAATCCAATATCCATTCCATTTTAATCCAAATCTCTTCCCACTCATGTCTTAATTTCGTCCAAGTGTTTGATGCTTTGCTTATTCAAGACTCCGACGCACATTTCTTAATGCCTACTCGCCAATCCCAACTCCAAGACGATTGATTAATCTAAATCTATCTATTATTATTTTTATTTAGAGAAATAATCTTTTTTTAATATAAAATTACAATGAATATAAAGTAATATCTATTAAAATATAATTATTAATTATTTAACAATAAACATTCATATCTCTTGCATTTGTGATATTCGAATCTGAAACGTATAATGATAAATATTTTAATCATTGAGACCTCTAAATTCATACAAAGAAATGATCTCTTTTTTATGCTAATATTAGCAGAAAAAAATTATAAGAAACAAAACTATTGGAAGTTTGGACGCTACTTAAAGAAAGTGCAAAAGCATACAAAGCACCCAACTAATATTTTTTTCCTAATATATTAAAAGGGTAACCTAATATAATGGACACTCTCATTTTATTTATTATTTTTAAAAAATAATATATTTTAAAAAATTTAAAAATATAAACGCGACAAATTAGATGATAATTTTTTAATTATCTGAATTAGTTCGTCTTGATTACAATAATTATATGAAATCACTATATTTAGGACACAAAACTAACACACTCGCAATGAAAGATGAATTTGTATATTTTGCGATAATATTGAAGATGATTCGGATCAAATCATGTGACGTGACACTGTTTTAGTCCTAAAGCCCCTTGGTAGGTATTGGTTAAACTTGGTAGATTGACAGGGTTGTTTGAAATGGAAAAAAAGCATTGAGTTTTATGAAAATTAACTAATTATATTTTCTATTATTAATATAGTTTTATACTTTTTAATTTTATAATTTTATATTCATAAAATTTTAATATAATCCTTTTAACCCTATACCGCTAGCCTAAAACCCTACCATTATCTTGATTAATTGCTAATTAAGGTGAAGCTTGTTGCTTCATTTTCTATATGAAAATGAAAATTTGTCAAAATAAAAAAAAGAAAAACAAATTTATAATTATTTGATCTTAAAATTTTATTAAACTTGTTATTTTATCATTAAGGTCTCTTTTACCCTAACTTGGCCTCTACCCACGTGTCCATTCACAGCTGAAGACATGTGGTTTCAGGAAAAAACCCCACAGCATCCATTACGATTCACAGAACTTGGCGGACGTCAACAATTTTGCTACGCAAACGTCTTGGGCGCCACCGCCTTTCTCTGAATGGCACAAGAGTAATATCTGAGGAGAATTAGTACCCTCACCATTACCCGAGCTGTAATTACCATATTTTTCTCATCTCATACGTAAACAAACCAATAATCATCCGCCACTGCTTAAAAGCATCAAAGTCAAATCTCATAAGCAGGAGTAACCGATGTCCCGGTCTGTATCTGTAAAACTGTCACGACTCTGTCCATTCTAGTCTACTCCAGTCACCACCTTCCATTCAAAAGGCGCTGGCGTGTTCTTAGAGCAAAACCTTTACTTTTTTTTTTCATTATTATTTTTGGGTAAAACCGCCGTTAGATATAGTTTTAAAGTAACCTGACAGAATGAATGATTCTTTCAAATTTTCTTCCTCTTTTTCTCAAATTTCACAGTGTTTTGCATTTTAAATTCCTTTTTTGTGATCAGTATCTTGTATAGTTCAGATTGAAGATTCCAACAAAGAAAAAAGAAAAAAAGAAGAGGGAAGATGTTGGAGGATCAAGTGGCTTACCTCTTGCAGAGGTATTTGGGGAACTACGTCAGAGGTCTCAATAAAGAAGCTCTTAAGATCAGTGTTTGGCAAGGTCTGTATCATTCGCTTCGCTTTTGCTTTTGTTTGTTTTATCCGTTGCTGTTATTGCGTCTACCGTCGAACTATGTTCACTAGGCTTTTTTGGGTGTTTATGTTGCTTCTATTGTTTTTAAGTATAGTATGAAAGTTTATTCTGGTGATATGATTTATTTGGCTACTTTGGTTGTTTGGGCGGCGCGAATGTAAATAATAGAGAAAGAAAATCGTTCGCGAGTGATTTGGAAATTGAGATCATTTTTAACTAAATATAATTTTATTATTGCTCTACTTTCCGTCTTGCTTAATCTTTCAGTGCGGATGGAAATGTTCATATGAATCTCACAATTCAGTATTGGTTAAGTGATAAACATTGAGTGCTATCTTAGACTGTTAATCTCATTTTATTGCCACCATGATGTCTATTATCTACTAATTATGAGTTCCATTTGATAAAAAAAAACTCTTTTCTACCTAAATGTTTTGAAAAGGGAAAAACCTGAAAAAAATTAGCGGACACTGGGGGAAATATAAGAAAGAATTTGAGATGCTCAATAAACAACATTGAATTGAGGAATTCAGAGCTTTGATGTAACTTAAAGTGAGATTAGATGATATCAAAAAGGTTTTCATATTTGATTGGTGAAGGCAGTATGTACTACGATGTTCAAAACTCACCTTTTTCTTAGTATTTCTAAAAGGAATAGGAATTGTTGTGGTCTTGCTTCAAATAATCCATATGTATTAATATGTTTTCTTGATATCTTCACTTATTTTCTCAAATTTAAAACAGGAGATGTGGAGTTAACAAACATGCAACTGAAGCCCGAGGCACTCAATGCATTAAAACTGCCAGTGAAGGTCAAGGCAGGATTTCTTGGATCAGTTAAACTTAAGGTTTGTGGTGTAGCTATTGTTGTTACAAAGTTTGCTTGTCTTGTGACCCTGCTGTGTGTTCTGAAATTTTTGGATTTACTTGCAGCTGTTTTATAGAATACATAATACAAAATAGAGAGAACAAATTATAATCCTAGTTCCACGAGTGTGAAATTTATGAGGTTCAGAAACTAATGCAATTATGAAGTTTTTGTTAAAGATGGCTGAGATGATGTTGTGAAATGGTGACTGGCTGCTACGCCGGACATGTTTATGATGGAATTGAAGTGTAATATAAGAGAACTTTTAGCATTGCATGCTGATTTTATTTTTGGGTACATGTGAAGAAGTCCGTGTGGGGAGATGAGATTTGAACCTTGGAAGTTAGTCCTCCAAAATGGGGGGAAACGACTTGAGATTGAGTTGTTGATACACTTTTGATTATCATGTATATTTCATTTCTTCTAAAGTCTGTTGCATTATTATAAAGTACCTATGTTGAAATGCCAACTTCAGGTTCCATGGAGTAGGCTTGGTCAGGATCCAGTTTTGGTTTACTTGGATCAAATTTTTCTGTTAGCTGAACCTGCAACTTCAGTTGAAGGTTACAGTGAAGATGCAATCCAAGAAGCTAAGAAAAACCGAGTACAGGTAAGAGCTGGTGAGCAGTGTGTCTGTTGATGTTAACCATGTAAAATGTGGTTGAATATTGAAGATATCTATTTATTAATTTAATCTTTGCTGGTGGTGATAGGAAATGGAAATGATGCTGGTGGAGAGGATGCATCATTTGAAGTCTGAAATGGTATTTTGATGAGATTGCCAATCTAATACTTTTGAAATATTGATTTTCGTTAGCTGGTGGTTGTATGTTCAAACAGTTGTTTTTTTGGACTTTGTTTTACCATTACATAAGCTTTTCGTTTACGATCCATGAGCTTCAATGGGCTTGAGAAGTCTTGGTGTTTACAATTTTTTTCCAATTGTTAGAACCTACTGGTGCTATGAGGTAGGGTAGGCTAAAAGTTATGATTTTCTTCTGTATGCAGAGCTTATCTGTATATCTCTCCGTCTTACTTGATTCTGCACATAGCTTGTGAAATTTTCCAAAATTTATCGTGCACAAGTAAAAAAGTGTTGGTGAATCTTTCCTTCTGATTTTATGTTTGTTAGCTAATCATGATAAAAATCTACGTTGTGTTTGAAGAATAAATCATGGTTGGGATCCCTTATCAGCACAATAATTGGTAACTTGAAGCTCTCCATCTCAAATATTCACATCAGATATGAGGACCTTGAGAGGTAAACTGAAGCTCGATGGTTAATGTCCTATGTTTTAGCAATCCATGTGGAACTTACCGGTGCTTTTTTCTTTTTTACATTTTAGCAATCCTGGCCACCCTTTTGCAGCAGGCCTTACACTGGAGAGACTCTCAGCTGTAACAGTTGATGACAGCGGGAAGGAGACTTTTGTTACTGGTGGTGCACTGGATCATATACAGAAGGTTCCTCTTTTAATGAGATGTCAGACTTGATTTCCCATTATTTTAATCACTTTTGTTTGAAAGAAGTTTGCTGAACATGGATCATTGTAGAAAGAGTTGTCAGCTTGCTCATTATGAATACATTATTTATAATTGTAGAAAAGAAATTTGTTTGTTGCTGGATTGCTCGTTGATGCTGCTCAATTTTAGCAAAATCTATTGTTCATTTACTGTTTCATATGATTTAAAATTCGTTACCATACATAACTATGAGTTACTTGATTCTAGAATTTGCATTTGCCAAATTTTGCTTACTTTTTAGTGTGTTATTACCAGTTAAATTGGCTGTTGGTCGGATCCCCTATACAATTGTTTGATGTTATTGTGCCAACTTTCATGACTATTAATTGCTTCTGGAAAAAGGCATTTTTATTCACCACAATTAGTATCACCACGCCATAATGACCACTGGAACTGTTTTCTGCTCGCTGCTGCTTTTCTGAGACTTTCTCATGCTTTTAATTTCATGCTCCCTCGTATTCCTTTCCTTCTCAATATACTAACTATTATCTTTGATGATTTTTTAATGTTTTTACCCGCCCTGTTTGTAGTCTGTTGAACTGGACCGACTTGCTGTGTATCTAGACTCTGATATATTACCTTGGCATATCTATAAGGCGTGGGAGGATTTGCTTCCTTCTGAGTGGATTCAGGTATTCCTGTCACTCTTTGCATTTAACTCGTACATCCATGTCTTCTCACACAATTCCTCAGTTGTCAAGAAAGATTGTCCTTGTTTCTGTTGAGCTGCAGGTTTTTAGATTTGGTACAAAAGATGGCAGACCAGCTGATTATACTATAGAAGAGCACACCTACATCCTACAACCAGTAACTGGAAATGCAAAGTACTTGAAGCTCGACAAAATGGATCTTCTGACAGTGGAGAGCCTCTCCAAAAAGGAGCAGTGAGCTTGGATGATGTGACCCTTTGCTTGTCAAAGGTTATTTTGTGTGTTTTTACCTTGGAAGTTCTTTATTCTTGAATGTAGGTTTTTTAATGATTTGATTATCTTCTTACATGCAGGATGGATACAGGGATATTCTTAAATTGGCTGAGAACTTCACTGCCTTCAATCAGAGGTTAAAATTTGCTCATTATCGTCCAACCGTCTCTTTGAAGTCGGATCCAAGGTCTTGGTGGAAGTATGCTTATAAAGCTGTTTCTGACCAGATGAAGAAGGCTAGGTACCTGAACAAGTTAACTCTGTTTCTTGGCATCCTAGGTTTTTTTTTTTTGCACATCATCTCATTATGATTAACCTATCACAAATACCTCTAATCTCTCCCAACTTGGAAGTCTTCAATATCAGAACTTTTTTTTAACCAAAGATGGTTCGTGTCTTAACTTTTGGCTTTTGTCTGAACATAGTTTCAGTTAGACAGTTTTTATTTTTGATTTTGCATTGTCTAAGATTGGTTGTTCTGGCAGTGGTAAACTGTCGTGGGAGCAGGTTTTGAGATATACAAGGCTGCAGAAGAAATATATATCCCTATATGCATCCCTGCTTAAATCTGATGTGAATAGGCCAGTAATTGATGACTGTAAAGAGATCGAGGAGCTTGATCGTGGACTTGATATTGAACTTATATTGCAATGGAGGTACTGTATTTTGTTTAAACATCATACTACAAGTCATCAGTGTGACTTTAGTTTGGATCATATAGTTTGTTATAATCTCTGACAACAAAAAATAAAGCTATTTAACTAATATACAATATTTGGCTCATTCCTCCCCTCCTTCGTCAAGAGTATATTTTATGGCCTTGGACTGGTTTGCTCTTGGATTGAACCAAGGGTTTCCCACGCCAGGCTTAACCGTAGCATTTTCTTTTTTAATTGCATAATGAAATTAATCCTACTCCTGTATTATTAGTCTCCTTAGATTATTTTCCTAATTTTTTTAGCTATCCAACGTTAACATATACCAAATGACAATAGATGAAGTGGCTCAATATAGCTAAGGCTAAATGATTGTTGGATAGTATCACTTCATACTCCCTATCTGTAGGCATATGCATTATGCACAAGTATTCTGGGCATGTTATCGACAGTTATGTGCATACTGATTATAATTTTTTAAATATCACTAAACTTTGGGTCCAATGAAGTAGCTTCTCTTTGTTGATGACTTCAATTTTATTCTGGCTTTGTGCAGAATGTTGGCACACAAGTTTGTTAAGCAGTCGATAGAATCAGAAAACTACTTGAAGCAGCAGAAAGCTAAAAAATCATGGTGGTCATTGGGATGGTAAGTGCTTGTGTGAAGAAATATTCTTATAATTTAACAAGTCACCTCTTATGACACTGTAGAATTTACCAACTTCAGTGAATCATTTGCAATTTCAGGGGTAGTCAATCTGTTAAAGATGACAGTGAATCATTCAGTTTTAGTGAAGAGGACTGGGAGCGATTAAACAAAGTTATAGGGTACAAGGAGGATGACGACCATTCAATTATTATTAATGCAAAACCTGATGTTCTTCAGACTTCTTTGGAAATTCACATGAAACATAACGCTTCAAAGCTTCTAGATGGGGCCCATGCATGTCTTGCTGAATTATCATGTGAAGGCCTTGATTGTTCCATTAAGCTCTATCCAGAGACAAAAGTATTTGATGTGAAATTGGGATCGTATCAATTATCTTCTCCCAATGGTCTTCTAGCTGAGGTTTAATTCCTCTTTCGTTCTTCAAAATTGCTTTTCTGTTTGGTTAAGCTTTTGCTCAATGGTAGTGTACTCTATATTTGTTCATGCAGAGTGCAACTACATCTGAATCTTTAGTTGGGGTCTTCTGCTACAAGCCATTTGATGCCAAAGTAGACTGGAGCCTGGTTGCTAAAGCTTCTCCATGTTATGCAACTGTATGAAATTATTCCTTACTCTCATCTCCCACCTCCTTTGGACTGTATGTTGATTTGTTAATTCAATGTCTTTTTGGCAGTATCTAAAGGAATCCATTGATGAAGTTATCAACTTTTTTGAAAGCAATACAGCTGTCAGTCAGACAATTGCAGTGGAAACTGCAACAGCAGTACAGGTTTTGTGATGCTTATGCAATCATTTTAACTCTGTTGTAGAGTACTTTCGTTAGCCCAAATCACTTGAAATGGCTTTATGAGTTTTATATCGTTTAGTGTATCATTGTGTTGGCAGCTCATAATATAGGAAGCTAAACAAACAGTTGTCATATTAATGTGGGTGTATTTACTTTTCTTATGAAATTAATAAGGTGACTAGATGTTCCTGTTTAAAGAGTTCTAAGGAAAATTCTTTAAATAGCTTTACTGTGGAAATTGGGGTTAAAGAGAAATTTGTTTGCATAAATTCTCATGCACTTCCAGTAAAAATTAAGTTCATCATGGTTTGTATGCTCTATTCTTTCAGACAGTTCCTACTAGCATATTACTAATGTTGATTGGTTCTCTAATTTTCCACTAACTGATTATTAGATGACAATTGATGGAGTCAAACGGTCTGCTCAGCAACAAGTGAACAAGGCTTTGAAGGACCATGCTAGGTTTGTTTCTTTAGATTCAAAGTTGCACTAGTGTCTATATTTTTGGTAGTTTGAAAAGAATGATATATCTTGAACGATTGCTGGGGTATTGTTTCTGCTTTGTTTTCTGGATTGTTCTAATATCTGTTGCCGCAGCTGCTTAATATCTGCAATGGAAGGTCTAATATATATAGCTACATAAGTTATGCTTTGTTGATGCCAGAACTATAATTACCTCATGAACTTTTGACCAGAGGCTAATAGAACATACGAAACAGACCTACTGTGAATTTGGAAGCTTCATTTGTTGTCTTGTTCCACTTTGCTTCACTCAGTATTTTTATCATGGATTGATTATTTCTTATATTGTAATCTGTAACTTGAAATTTTTGAAATGACAGATTCAGCTATCTGGTATTGATTTCTTGTCTTTCAATTTTTTTTATCATATTTCAGTGGAATACACTTCTCTTTGTAATTGGCTTTTTGGGACATAGCCTTGACCATGTTTGGCTCTTTTGTGGCTCTTACATATCACGTTTTGTTAATTCCTTTTGATTTATGCAATCAAATATTCATCACATCAACTTCGAGAAGAAATTTGTTTGGGTAAGTTGTTAATATGCAGGAGCATTTATCTTTTACTTGTTTGTAGGTTTCTGCTAGACTTGGATATTGCAGCTCCTAAGATTACGATTCCAACTGAATTTCGACCCAACAACAAGCATTCAACAAAACTTCTTCTTGATTTGGGAAATTTGATCATTCGTTCACAGGTTAAAGAATGAAGATAATCCCCCCATCTTGATTAGTTTATTTGAAATGCATGATTTATATTGAATTCGCTGAATGTTTGCAGGATGACTATGCACGTGCATCTTCTGAGGAGCTGGATTTGTATTTGCAGTTTGATTTGATTTTAAGTGATGTATCTGCTTTTTTGGTTGATGGTGATTACCATTGGAGCCAAACCTCTCTAAATAACTCTGCAACCTTTCATAACGTTGATATTGTTAGTTTCTTGCCTGTTATTGAAAAATGCGGGGTAATCTTGAAACTACAGCAGGTAAAGTTGTATATAATTTCCTGTGAATATTGTTGTTAGATTTTTGTGTGTTTTGAGGTAAATTATTTGTCACAGATTCGTATAGAGAACCCATCATACCCTTCAACAAGACTTGCCGTGCAGTTACCATCATTAGGTTTCCACTTTTCTCCCGCTCGGTACCATAGATTGATGCAAGTAATTAAAATCTTTCAAGAGGAGGACGATGACAGGCCAGATGTCTTTCGTCCTTGGAACCAGGCTGACTTTGAGGGTTGGTTGTTTGTTCTTAGTAGAAAGGTCTCTCTCCTGTTTGTCTCATAGATATGTACACACATGTATGTATACATTGTTTGTTTCTGGTCTGGTTTTATTCTCTTGACATTTCTTTCTCCACCAACCCCCACCCCCTGAATTTTTATGTTATAGGGTGTTGGAAACAGGGAAGCTGTATGGAAGCGGCGATACTTGTGCTTAGTAGGGCCTTTTCTGTATGTACTTGAAAGTCCTGGGTCTAAGTCATACAAGCAATATGTCAGGTTTGTCACCAACTTCTCCAAACTGGTTTTCCCATTACATGATCATCTCATAACTAAAGGTGTGCGTTGAAGTTTAGGTGTACGAAATAGTCAACTAGCATGATCATCAAAGTTAACTGGATATGTGTTTTAGGATTTAGGAGATATGAATGAAGAAGTTACATTTAAGTTAACTAAGATGCATGACCACTTCTTTGAATTTTGAAACTTAGAAGAAGTCTCTCTCTTTTTGAAAGCTTGAAGCTGAGCAAAAGTTTTTTATTTAATTTTAAACTCTTCTTTGGAGATCTTGTAGCTACTGTAAACGGTTGCTTCACTTGTGACTATTACATAGTAAATCATTTTCCCCCTACATTATATTAGAATTCTACTGTGAGAATTGTGGATCATGGACAAAACACCACCTCTTTTTTTTTTGATAGAAGTTAGGCCTCATTAAAACCCCCTTCATATCTTTCATGTTATATCAGTAACATGAAGGACATCGGAAGAGGACAAGAACACCTCTGAATTTTATTACCCTGAAACATAACGTACAACCAATTTGTAGTCATAGGCTTGACATAAAACTTAAAAACATAGAACGACCTGCAGCAGTAAGACCAGGACCTAAAAAACTGGACAAACACAAGAACACAGAAACCTCAACAGAATACTACTTGATCAACCAATACCAGCCTTTGCTAACTCATCCGCTTCCCAATTGGCGGCTCTCAATATATGTCTTGAAATGATGCCCTGTCCTTCCACCTTAGACGCTAAACCTCTAACCAAGTTTTGAAATAGTGGGGTACAGAGGTCAGGATGTTTAATCCACTTCAGAGCTGTGGTGGAGTCCACTTCCAAAACAATCTTCCGACTTAGAGAGAAACCTACTTCTTCGATGAGAGTCAAACCTCTTTTGATCGCCATTAGTTCTGCAAGAATTGGAGGACCACCAATATTTTATGAGAACAAACCCAGTAACAAACCCCTATCATCTCTAATCAAACCACCTATTCCACCTTTATCCCTACCCTTAGCCATTGCTCCATCAACATTGAGTTTAAGGAAGCCTTGTGGAGGATGTACCCACTTAGAAGGAGTAGAACACCCTTTTTTTTATTACCATTCAAATATGCCAGTTTTAGATCCCCAACTAGGGAATCGAAAGGAATATAAACATCCTTAAAATTCACCCCGAACCAAATAGCAGTTCTGTATCTAGCAAGAAAGAACAGCATAGCAGAATCCACCTTTTTTTGAAAAACAATCTCATTTCTGTATTTCCAAACTGACCACAAAACCGCCCTTGGAATGAATTTCCAAATATTAGATCTTGGAACTAAATCATCCCACAAAATCAAAAAGTCCGTCATATTCTTAGGAACCACAAATGAAACATTCCAGTCCCTCAAAAATCTGGACCACAGAAACCAAACCACCTCACAATACAGAAACAAATGTGAAATTGACTCCTCGCACTTCCCACAAATCGGACATAAAAGATGATCAATCCCAACGACACCTCTCTTCAACAGCTCCTCTTTAACTGCTACTCTTTGATGTGCAACTTGCCAAACAAAAGCTTCTACACGAGGAGGTGCAACCCCTGTCCAAACGTGCCTGTCCTAAAAACCCTCTTCTCCATAAATGCCCTCCTCAAAAAATTTTGTGATGCAGGATTTAGCTGAAAAACATCCCTCTCCATTACCTAGCCATATCCAACAATCTTCCTCGAGTAATGAAGGAGATGAGGTGTTTAACAAGGAAATAAGCTGCAACCATTGCTCAACCTCCCAATCCACCAAATTCCTTCTCAATTGTATATCCCAAACCTAACCGGATATACTGTGCAACCTGAATTCTGCCACCTTTCCCATTTTATTTTTTGATAAAGCAAAAAGTATCGGAAACATCTCCTTCAGAGAAACCATACCCAGCCATATATCATTCCAAAACTGCACGGATTTCCCATTACCAGCTCTTAAACACATGTTATTTCTTAAGCAATCCCCAAAATCGTCAGAAGAAAAGAAATTATTAACCACACCTTTCCATATCCAAGAAGCTCTGGCTAAGCAATTGTTCCCAATCATCATAGAATTCGAGTTCAATTATTCACACTACACATCACTATCTTCCACCATGATCTCTTCTCCGAAGCAAATTTCCAAACCCATTTCCCCAATAAAGCCCTGTTCAAAATCAACAAATTCGGAATTCCTTAACCTCCCAATTTCTTTGGCTTACACACCAACTTCCAATTCAACCAATGAATGTTATTTTTTCCTGCTGAGCTTCCCCATAAAAAAGCTGCCATGATCGAGTTTAGCTTGTTGAAAACACTTATTGGTATTCGAAAAATAGATAAGAAGTAAATGGGGATAGAGCACAAAACCGATTTAACCAAAACAACCCTTCCCGCCAGCAATAGGGATTTAGCTTTCCAACCAGATAATGTACTGTAAAACTTCTGCACAACAGGTTCCCATAAAGCAAAAGAGTTCCTCTTGGCCCCCAACAGTAACCCGAGATACTCCGAAGGAAAAGCACCCTTAGAACATCCAATTTCCTTTACCCAAGCATCTAGAACCTCGTCCTCCACGTTCACTCCAAAAATTATGCTCTTAGTTAAGTTAAGCTTCAACCCCACCAACAATTCAAAAATCAACAAAACCCTTCTAACATTCAACAAATCACGAATTGATGCCTTGCTGAAAATTATTAGATCATCCACGAATTGTAAATGTGATAACTTAAAAGAGCTATCAAGAGAACCTAGCTAGAAACCCGAAAACAACCCCTTTTCCACTGCTTTTGCAAACAATAAATGTAACAACTCCCCTCCCAAATTAAACAACATCGGAGATAACGAACAACCCTGCCTTAGTCCTCTTGAAGGTTTAATTCTCTCCGTTGGATTCTCGTTTACTAGGCCTGAAATGGAAGCCGTTGACACACATTTATAAATCCAAGAGCACCATCTAACACCAAACCCCATTTTGCTCATTAATTTCATCAAAATCTCCCAATCCACCGAATCATAAGCTCTCTTAAAATCCACCTTGAAAACGACTCCCTTCAATCCTTTCTTCCTCCAGTAGTCAATACTTTCATTTGCAATAAAAGAGCAGTCCATAATGTGTGTCCCCGGGATAAAAGCAAATTGGGAGGGACTTATAACTTCGTTAATGCATAGGCTTAACCTCCTTGCTAGAACCTTAGATAGGATCATATAAAACCCCCCAACAAGGCTAATAGGCCTAAAATCTTCTAATGCCTCCGGATTCACCTTTTTAGGATTAAGGGAAATGTAAGAGTGATTAACTCCTCATCCCATTCCTTCCCCTCATAAAAATCCTTAAAAAACAGCAGCGTTACTTGTTTCAAAATAGTCCAGAATTTCTTAAAAAACCCTAAGTTTAACCCATCAGGTCCAGGCGATTTGTTGATGTCCGAATTGGCAATTACATCCCAAATTTCCTCTTCAGAAAATGGCTTTTCAAGAGCCAAACTATGATCAGTCGAAAGATTTAGAAAATCCAATTCCAACTCTTCGGCCTCCAGAGTATTTTTTTGTGTGAATAGATCCTTATAGAAATCCACCACTGATGCTTTTATCCTACTAGGATCTGAGATGATTTCATTCCCCAATTTGAGGGACTTAATACCATTCCTCCTACCTCTGCCTCCTGCACATTGATGGAAAAACCTTGTATTCTTATCCCCTTCCAAACTCCACTTCACTCTCGATTTTTGAAACCAGGTAGACTCTTCAAATTTATAAAGGTCCCACAATTGTTTTTTTGCCTCTACTAGTTGCTTCATAGACACCCCAGGTAAGTCTTGTTGCAAATCAATCTCTCACTTCTGAATTTCTTTTTCCAAACTGTTAATTTTTCCAAGAAATTCTAAGTAGCCCTTATTTGAACAACTCTTAACAGCTTTCTGTACCCCTTTTAGGTCGCTGGAAAATGGAATTTTCTTGTCTGTTTTACACCACTTGAGTAGTTCGGCCTCCATCATATTACCAAACCTTCTTCCTTCATGACATAGTTGAACAACTTGAAAGGTTTAGGACCCCAATTCCAACCCCTATTTTCCAGCAAAATCAAATTATGATCCGAAATAGACCTTGGTAGAAGACTTTGGGAAATCAATGGAAAAAGTTACAGAAAATTCTGAACCAGAAGAAATCGATCCAATCTCACATAAGTTGGGACATCCTTATTATTACACCATGTAAATCTTCCTCCAGCCAAAGGTAAATTAACCAGATTAGCACTGTTCACAAAATGTCTAAAAACATTCATTGAGACCAAATTAACTTCACCACCAGCTTTCTCTTCCAGTGACAGAAAAGCATTAAAATCCCCTCCAAGACACACTGGGCAGTCTGCATTTTTCAGGAATGAAAGCAACTCCCCAAAAAACCGCTCTTTTTCAAAATCCACACTCGGGCCATACACATTAATAAACCAACAAGGTCTAGAGGACTCTTCAATAATTCCTCTTACTGCCAAAAATCTGCTGTGAATTACCTCTTCCTGAACAACACAATCATTTTCATTCCACAAAGTAATTAAGCCTCCAGCAAAACCTTCAGCTGAAGATACTGCCGAACCAGGAAGAAATTTGCCTCCCAATTTTCTCAATAATGAAGGACTCACTGATTCCAATTTCGATTCTTGGATAAAAACTATTGATGGCTTCTTTTCTTCAACACACCTCATTACCGCTCTAGCTTTAACCCTCCTACCTAGACCTCGAATATTCCAAGACAAAATTTTCCAATTAGACATCTATATCTTACTGAATAACCTTCAATCCCAAACCCCTTAATTACTCCCATTTCCTTCTCTCTCCCTAACCAAAGAACCTGTTTTTTCCAAAAAGTTTTGTTTTCCCCCTCTAAATTTAACCCCCAACAGTTTGCTAACATTCCAACACTCAAGAGCCTCCACCCCTCCAGCAGGCTCCCTGGAATAAATAAAATCTGAACTTACATCGACACAGCTCTTAGCTCCCCCCTCCTAGATCTCGAATAAACCCGATTACATGAGCCTCTTCTCACTTTACTTCCAACCTCACTCTTTCCATTAGTAATTTGCAAAGAACCGATACAGACCCACACTGAAGAGAGGCCCGAGACTGCTCTTCAATGTAATCTACTGTGGGAATATGACCCCCACAATATTTCCTGCCATTCTCTTTATTCTGCTCATCCAATACTTGTCTAGGCAGGCCTTCCCAAAGCCCATTATCAAATTTCACAATAGCATACTCACGGGGAACATCCCCCATGTGCTTCCTAGTTTCTCTCTCTTCCTTGGTGCTTTTAGAATTTTCCTGCAGTAAGGAGACAGCTCGTGCAACATTCGCACGCTTGCACAAGTCAACCGAAACAGCTTTATTTGAATTTGAGCAAAAATTCAAACTCCCCTCGATTTCTGTGTTTTTGCCTTGCTGGGATCCTTGAACCCATTCCTGTACCCTATTTTGGGAATCTGACACCTCCTGAGTACCCACGTGCTCATCCTGCTGTAACTGAACAACCCCTTTGCTCTAATCGGAGGAGCTCTCCTCCCATGGATCCTCTGAAATAGCATCTTCAACCATATCTGATAACTCAGGAAAATAATTTTCAGCACATTCAACCTTAATCTTAATCAAGAACTGCCTCCCTAACGAATTGATGATAATATGTTCAAGAATTTCAAATGGACTGGCCACCCTGAGAAGCATCTGAGCCACTCTGCAGTCCACTCTATGAGCAGTTTCATCTTGAATCTTCACTAGCTTTCCCCATCTGGATGCCAAACTAGTAAAGAAAGGAACCAACCAGCAATTTAATGGAACTCCAACCATGGAGATCGCACAATAAGGCAGGGGAATACCTCCCTCATCCAGAACAGGTTCCAATCTTTCAAACCAGAAAGACAAAGCTTCCCATTTTTCTTCCATCACCATCCTTCTCTCCTCCACAGTTTGGAAAATTACCAAACAAACATTTTTTTGCAAATCCCCACTTAACTACCTTTGCATTGATGCCGTCATTCCTTAAAGCTTTCTGCAAAAACTCCACTTCAAAAATTGCTTTACATATACCCGTAAGTGATGATTTCAACCAAGCCCTCTCCTCCATCGGAATAAAGACTTCCATAGGATTTTCCATCTCCTTTTTTCGATGTCTACCCACTTGAACACCCACAGGATCTTTGCTCTCCCCAACCACCGTATCTTTATAGGTTCTCCCATCATGGAACCTATTCAACATTTCCATCTTCCTTACCCCATCAGCTGGAGAAGACAACCTTCCATGCTTAGCCCCTCCTTTGTCATTGTTATTTGAACCCTCAACCCTTCCTTCAATCTGCTTCCTCACCCCAGAAAGTTTCTCATATTTCGCTACTGTCACAGAAATCCTCCTTCCATCGATCGTGACATTGTTCATCTTTTCCACTGCATTGCATAGATCCGCCTTGCTTGCGAAATGGACAAACTCAAACGTACTAACCTTATAATTCGGTCTGTTGTTAATAAATGGAATGAACACCCTAATGACTTTTCCATAATGACTAAAACAATCCCATAAAGCACTACGACACACTCTCCTACTAAGATTATTAACGAAAGCCGACCAAGAATCTCCCCCCTTGTATTTCGAAAACTCTCTCTCTCTCTCTCTCCATCGGTTGTTCGTTCGTGAAAATCCTTAAATTTAAAACACCACCTCTTGTAATCATCTTGGAGGATTATGAATTTGAAGAGGATGGATATTTTCAAACTTGGCTGGAAGCACACAAAAAAAGTTGCATTTTTTTTATGGCTAAAGTTTTCAAGGACTTCTTGCATGTTCAGAGTTGCATCAGCTAGTTTACTTCATGCTTCATGTGGGTTTTTTATTTGTATTTCTATTCTATGTTTATGCCCTGTTTTACTTGCTCTGTAGCTTGAGAGGAAAACAGGCGTATCTAGTTCCGGCAGAGTTGGCTGGTAATATGGAATCTGTATTGGCTGTTTGTGATGCCACACTGTCAAATAGCAAGGCTGTAAGAGCATTTCAGTTATTAAAACACTATCTTCTATGAAATTCAGTGAGATTGTACATTAAATTTTGATTCTTGCTCAAACCCCCCCGAATATTGCTTTATCTGTGTAATTTTTCTTACTAGGTGGTGGAAGATGTGAATGCACTAATATTACAGTTTGATAATGATGATTCAAGGAAAACATGGCAAAGCCGCCTGCAAGGAGCTATATATCATTCATCAGTAGGTCTTTTGCTCCTGGTCTTGTCTGAAAAGATAGAATAACAGAAGCAGAATGATAGAAAATTTAGTCTCTTGGTAACTTGAATCTTTAATAGATATGAACTTCACAAAGTCTTGCAATACATAGAGATATAAAAAGGCAATTAGTTGGAGTAGGATCCTAAAATCTTACCATTAGGAGAAAAATGATTCGTACAAAATAAATCTACCAAAATAATTCTCCATTTGCACATAAAAATAGCTGGAATTTTGAAGTCCTACATACTAGTAATGAAATTGGAAATGTTGAAGTGATAAAGTTTCTATTAGCACACTTGCATCACATTCTTTCAGGATAATGCTCTATAAAATCAAGGGGCATAATCTTAAAAGGCATGAAAGTTTTAATTAAGCAGGAAGCATTTTATGTGATTCACATGATATTTCTGATTCAAAGAAAGAAATTACTCTAAATAATAATCTCTCTGCAGGCTTCTGCACCTTTTACTATCTCTGAAACTTCATCAGACTCGGAAACAGAACCCAATGAGAAGCATGATGCATTTGATTTGCCGATGATAGAAAGTGTTTTTATAACTGGTGTTCTTGATGAGCTTAAGATCAGTATTAGTTATAATCATCAGGTAAGCCTGGACTGTTTTGTCATGAAATTAAACTAAATTTGAACTGCTTAGGAAATTTTATTTACTTGTCCATCGTTTCTAGCATGAGCGGAGCTTCAATAAGGTGCTTCTTGCTGAAGAGCATCCACTATTTGAATTTCGAGCAACAGGTGGTCAAGTAAGTTTAGCATTATCTTGTTTATGATAGTTCATATTTCAATTTGTTTTGATACTTTTTGATCTTATAATTTTTTACCTCTTTCAAAACAGGTTGAGCTTTCAATAAAAGGGAGTGATATTTTTATTGGCACTGTTCTGAAATCTTTGGAAATTGAAGATTTGATTTGCTGCAGTACTGTGTCGAAGCCTTGCTACTTGGCAAGATCTTTTATACGAAGTGCAGATGTACATTCAGTATTGGACGATGGTGGGATTGAGTTGTTCCCAAGTGAAGGAGATGAAAAATTTTATGAAGCCCCTGAAGATTTGATTGATTCTGCTGAGTGCACAACATCCACACCTAGAAAATCATCTGAGTTAGTTAGTTTGCAAAAATTTCAGAGTTTTAGTCGAGTAACTGGTTTACTCCCTGATGATGAACTTCTTCTGGGAAGGGAGGATGTTGAACTAATTGATACATTAAACAGTTTTGTAAAAGCACAAATTGTTATTTATGACCAGAACTCTCCTCTGTACAACAATGTCGACATGAAGGTAGGTTCTCTCAGTTTGAATCTTTCTCAGCCTCATTATCTTGGTCTTCTATATTTCATTGGAGTAATAACATGCTGTTTTCAGGTCACTGTGACTCTGGCTACTTTGTCATTTTTCTGTCGTAGACCAACAATCCTTGCCATTATGGAATTTGCTAATGCTGTTACTATTGAGGATGATAGCTGCGAGTCTATTAGTGATAATTCTTCTGCAGTTGGTGTGAAACATGATATTTCCAGTGAAGATCCTACTGACAATCCACAGTCAACCAGGGTGGAGGAGCCTGTGGTCAAAGGTCTGCTAGGAAAAGGAAAATCCAGAATTATTTTCAACTTAACATTAAATATGGCTCATGCTCAGATTTTGTTGATGAATGAAAATGAAACTAAGTTCGCTACTTTGTCGCAAGAAAATCTGCTTACTGATATAAAGGTCTGCCCTACCCTGTTCTGCACTTTGCTGAATTTCTCTTAGTTTTCATTGTTAATTTCCTCCCCCTTTCTCATCTGCACCTCTTCCCCCCCTTTTAATGTTCACAGTTTTAATGTTCAAAAGTTTTCTTTTGTTTAAAGGTGTTCCCATCCTCTTTTAGTATAAACGCAGCATTAGGAAATTTGCGAATAAGTGATGACAGCCTCCCTGGCAATCATATGTACTTCTGGATCTGTGATATGAGAGATCCTGGAGGCACTTCATTTGTCGAGGTATTTAATTTTATCATCTTTTACTAACCCTGAAAAGAAAATTCTTTATTTGTTGTATTGTGGATTTGTTTCTCAAGTTTGCTACAGGATCCTTTGTCTTTTCAATTGTAACTGGTTTCATGTTTTTTTAAAAATAAAGTGGGGTCTCGTTCCTAAACAACAAAAACACAAACAATTGTACTTTTCATTTTTACTCGTTGGTGTATGTCTTTTTTTTTATAGGAATAGGAGGTCTCATTAAAAACCTCCCTCTTAGTTGACTCTTGTGAAAGAGGCAACTAGCGGAAGGAGGAAAAGAGTACCTCATCTTATTAATAAACCATAATTACATAAGATTACAGCTTACATAATAAACTGCCCGAAATAAAATACAAACCAAAACAACCATAAAGCTCTAAACCTCAACCTATCCCTCCTTAGCTAACTTGTCTTCCTCCCAATTGCATCTCCTAGGAATCCATCTAACAATAATACCCCTAGCAGAAACTAAGGCCCCAATTTCCCCAACCAAAGTATAGAAAAATGTAGGGACAGAAAATGGCATCAAAATCCAATCAACTGCTGTTTTACAGTCACTCTCTAGGATTAGTCTTCCCTTTAAAGCCCATTTAGAAGAAAGGAATAAACCAATTCCTTGTTTAATAGCTTTCAGCTCAGCTAACAAAGGAGGACCAGGTCCCACCACAATAGAAAATGTTTTTAAAGTAGAACATTTCGAATCTTTCAAGACTCCTCTAATTCCACCCTGCTGCCCATCACCTCTTACCGCTCCATCAATATTGAACTTAAAGAAATCATTAGGAGGCAGAGACCAATAAAGAACCTTCTTCTTTTTATAGGATTTAATAGGTAATCTGTCTGCAAGCGTTGGATCCCCTACTAGTAGGTCAACCTGAATATTAACTTGAGGGAATTTCGCTAAAAACCATTTAGCCAACCTAAACCTGGAAATGAAGAGCAAAGATGAAGTGTCTAGATTCTAGTTTTCAAACACCACTGAATTCCTAGCTTTCCATAAAGACCATAGAACAACACCTGGAATAAACTTCCAAATAGTAGAGCACTCCCTTAGATAAGACCAAGAACAAAGTAGGGAAGAAGGATCTTGGGGCATAACTGAAGAGATATCCCAAAACCTTAGAAATCTATACCACAACTCCTATGCAACCGAGCAAGAAATAAACAGATGTTGAATTGTTTCCTCATATTTGTGACAAAAAGGACACATAACATCTTCTATATTAACCCCTCTTTTCTTCAATTTCACTCTAACCGCCTCTTCCACTGAAAAGAACCTCCAGTTCTGCTCGAAATAGTTATTCTACAAGATTTTACCGAAAACAAACCATCCCCTTTCCCCGACCACACCAGAAAATCATCCACAGATTCATTCAGGGCTATGTTCTCAATCAAAAGCATTGAGGAAATCCACTGTTCCAATTCCCAGTCACAAAGATTTCTCCTTAGCTGAATGTTCCAAACCCAACCATTATTTTCAAATCCACCAAATTCAGCCACTTTTCCCCTTTTGTTAGTCGACAGAGCAAAAATCCTAGGGAATTGAATCTTTAAAGAAGATCCATTAACCCAAATATCATTCCAAAACTCAATTGACCTACCGTTTCCCACTTGGATCTTCGAATTGGACCTCAAACACTTCCCTATCTCATCCTTTTTCTCGTAGTTACTCAGAATACCTCTCCATACCCAAGAATCTTGAGGAGAAACAGCCTTGCCTATAGACAGAGATAACTTACTAACATTATGCGTACAACAAATCAATTTTTTCCATTGAGAGTCTTTCTCATTTGCATACTTCCAAACCCATTTCCCAAGCAAAACTCTATTAACCAAACTCAAGTCCAAGACTCCTAAGCCTCCTTCTTCCAATGGTTGACATACCGTACTCCAATTCACCCAATGAACCCTTTTCTTGTCTGATTCTTCTCCCCAAAGAAATCTTGCCATTACTGAGTTTAGTTTCTGATTTACCTTAAACGGAATTTTGAAAATAGAGAGGTAGAAAATAGGTAATGAAGACAACACCGATTTTACCAACACCAATCATCCAACCATCGATAAAGAGGCAGCTTTCCAACCTGCTAATCTGATGTAAACTTTCTGTAATACTGGCTCCCACAATAGCTCTGAATTTTTCTTTTCTCCTATCGGTAGACCTAGATAAGTCATAGGAAAAGATCCCACCCCACAACCTGCTTCCAGTGCAAATTCTTTCAAACTGTCCTCTGCCATATTAACACCAAACAGTTTACTCTTGGACAGATTAAGGTGTAGCCCTGAAATTAAACTAAACACCCTCAAAACTCTCTTTATATTAAGGATTTGTGTTGAGGAGTCTCTGCAGAATAAGATTAAATCATCTGCAAACTGGAGATGTGTCAAATTAAAAAGATTCTCTTCCTTACCAATACTGAACCCTTCGAAAAGACCAAGAGCAGCAGCCTTACTCAATAAATTTAAGAGCTCACCAACAATATTAAACAGAAGAGGTGATAAACTACAACCTTGTCTCAACCCTTTGTCCATATGAAATTCTTCTGTAGGAGATCCATTAACTAGAACCGATATTGAAGCAGAAGAGATACAATAATCAATCCAAGAAATCCATTTGTCCCCAAAACCCATTACCTTCAATAATCTCAAAATAATTGGCCATTCCACTGAGTCATAGGATCTACGAAAATCCACTTTGAAAACAACTCCTTTCCTTTTTTCCTCCAATAATCTATAGATTCATTGGCCATAAAAGTACAATCAAGTAGCTGCCTACCTGGAATAAAGGCGAACTGCGATGGGCTGATCAAATCTTTAATAACAGAAACCAATCTCCTCGATAAGATTCTGGAGATAATTTTGTACAGACTGCCAACAAGACTTATTGGTCTGTAATCTTTTTTTTTTGATAGGAATAGGATGCCTCATTAAAAACCTCCCTCTAAGAAGTCCACTGCCCTAAGGCAAGGACCCTCTAGTGGAAGGAGGAAAAGAGTACATCAATTTATTAATGATAATACAATTACATAAAATTTAAAAACACTCCTACAAAAATACATAAGGCTTGATACACTCCTGCAAGACCTCCCCTCAAAAACATACAAACCAACTAAAAGCAGTACAATCAGCCAATCCCCTCCTTCGCTAGCTTGTCCGCCTCACAATTACAACACCTAGGAATCCACCTGATAATGAACTGATTTCCAGAAACAGCAGACGCAATCTCCTTCATAAAATTAGACAAGTAAATAGGGACTGAACTCTGATCTTTAATCCAATCCACTGCTGTCTTTGAATCACTTTCAATAATGAGCCTACCCTTCGAAGCCCATACAGATGAAACAAAGATGTCAATGCCTTTCTTGATAGCCTTCAATTCTGCTAGGATAGGAGTATTAGGACCTGCATTTACTGAAAATGAAGACAAAACAACCCGATTCCAGTCCCTTAGAATTCCCCCAATACCTGCCACCATCCCCACACTACTCACGCCCCGTCCACATTCATCTTAAAGAAATCCTGTAACACCCCCAACCCGTATCCGACCCGGATACGAGTCCGAAGTGTCACATTGACTTTTCAAACCTTGACTCTTAAGAAAAATCCCGGGAAATTTAAAACTTTATTTAAAACAAAATACAGACTTTATCAGAGTGCTCGTACTTAATAACTTATTACATGCCAACACTTTATACATAACCAAAAACATACTTTATCCAATATTTCTGATCTGATCTTTTGGTAAGGAAAACTGACCTGTCTTGCTCCGCATCCCTCCTTACTTTTCTCGAAACCTACGTGTGAAACAATCACACGCTAAGTCGAAGACTTAGTGAGGCATAACCACTTATAATGCACTTTAAAACATATATTGATACATGCATGTTCTGTTCTATCATGTTATAGAAATTCCAGGCATTTTTCATATCGTATAGAATCATATCAGATTAATCGCAGTAAATACATACATACACATAATTCATCATTCACATGTTATCACATAATCACATACTTTTTCAATCAAACACTATACACACAACATCATATCCTTTCTATAGCATTTATCATACCACTAACTTATATTTGTTCATATCTCTGGATTAGCCCATGTACATATGTGAGAACTATCGATATGTGAGTCTATAGAGGTTGTGCACTATGCTGTCACCACAGCTCGTATAAATGCACCGAAGTGCCCGTAGAATTGCACCGAAGTGCCCGTAGAATTGCACCGAAGTGCCCGTAGAATTATGTCCATAAGGACCACGTAGAATTCCTTAAGACTCATATACATATACTATGGATCAAGTATGTGTCTTTCAAGACTTCACACAGGTTCCAAAGGATATACATATGTCCTAAAGAACCGAATAAACCCTCGACTCTTGGCATGCCAACTATACCACTAGCTCTCATGACACATAACATGGGCGTTATCATTTATTTCATTTCAAACATACACATACACTTGTAATTCACTTTCACATATCACGTATCACATATCTTCTTTTCATATGATCACATAGTCACGTAGTTCATTTACCCGTAGATCATTTCCATATAGTTCACATGTCACATATGTCATGTTTTCATATAATTTCTATCATTCTCACCAATCACCTTTATTCATATAAACATACCTATCATATCTTGTTCACATAAGATCATATACTTCATATAATATATCGAAACACCTAGAACACTTTCCCGTAGCTTATAGTCATAAGTTTTGTCTCGTAGCATATACTTGTTTTCACATATATATTTCCTATCAATTCTTATACCATAACATAATTCCTTTAACATACATAACATATCATGTAACATTATAATAGAAATACTTATAAGTCATATCACTTAGAGCACATATCTATACTTATAGTCACATTACTTATATCTTAATCTTATGCCTTCTCTTAGACCTATATATATTCACATGTTCAGGTAATCCACCATTTCATCACATAATTATGTATTCCTATAAC